GCGAAGGCAAGGCGAAGGCAAGGCAAGGTGAAGGGAAGGCGAAGCGAAGGCGAAGGCAAGGCGAAAGCAAGGCGAAGGGAAGGCGAAGGGAAGGCGAAAGCAAGGCGAAGGGAAGGCGGCGGCAAGGCGAAGGGAAGGGAAGGCGAAGGCAAGGCGAAGGGAAGGGAAGGTGAAGGCAAGGTGAAGGGAAGGTGAAGGCAAGGTGAAGGCAAGGCGAAGGCAAGGCGAAGGGAAGGCAAGGCGGAGGCAAGGCGAAGGGAAGGCAAGGCGAAGGCAAGGCGAAGGGAAGGCAAGGTGAAGGGAAGGCGAAGCGAAGGCGAAGGCAAGGCGAAAGCAAGGCGAAGGGAAGGCGAAGGCAAGGCGGCAAGGCGAAGGCAAGGCGAAGGGAAGGGAAGGCGAAGGCAAGGTGAAGGGAAGGCGAAGGCAAGGCGAAGGGAAGGGAAGGCGGAGGCAAGGCGAAGGGAAGGGAAGGCAGAGGCAAGGCGAAGGCAAGGCGAAGGGAAGGCAAGGTGAAGGGAAGGCGAAGCGAAGGCGAAGGCAAGGCGAAGGGAAGGGAAGGCGGAGGCAAGGCGAAGGGAAGGCAAGGCGAAGGCAAGGCGAAGGGAAGGCAAGGTGAAGGGAAGGCGAAGCGAAGGCGAAGGCAAGGCGAAGGGAAGGGAAGGCGGAGGCAAGGCGAAGGGAAGGCGGAGGCAAGGCGAAGGCAAGGCGAAGCGAAGGCGAAGGGAAGGCCAAGGGAAGGCGAAGGGAAGGCCAAGGCAAGGCGAAGGGAAGGGAAGGCAAAGGCAAGGTGAAGGGAAGGCGAAGGGAAGGCGGCAAGGCGAAGGGAAGGCGAAGGCAAGGCGAAGGGAAGGCGAAGGCAAGGCGAAGGCAAGGCGAAGGGAAGGCGAAGGCAAGGCGAAGGCAAGGCGAAGGGAAGGCGAAGGCAAGGCGAAGGCAAGGCGAAGGGAAGGCGAAGGCAAGGCGAAGGCAAGGCGAAGGGAAGGCAAAGGCAAGGCGAAGGGAAGGCGAAGGCAAGGCGAAGGCAAGGCGAAGGGAAGGCGAAGGCAAGGCGAAGGGAAGGCGAAGGGAAGGCGGCAAGGCGAAGGGAAGGCGAAGGCAAGGCAAGGCGAAGAGAAGGCGAAGGCAAGGCGAAGGGAAGGGAAGGCGAAGGCAAGGCGAAGGGAAGGTGAAGGCGAAGGGAAGGCAAAGGTGAAGGGAAGGCGAAGGGAAGGCGAAGGGAAGGTGAAGGGAAGGTGAAGGCGAAGGCCAGGGAAGGGAGGGAAGGGAAGGGATGGGATACCTGGGGATGTCAGGCTCAGGCAGAGGTCCTGACAGGGAGGTACAGACAAGCCAAGCAATGGTCTTGGGAGGCCAAGACCGAGCAGGCCAGCCATTTAGCCCGCAGCCCGAGCGTGCTCTAATGCTGTAGGGCAGGCGGGTTCTCCTTCACTTCCTCTGGCACAGGCCCATCAGGCTGCCAGTCACAGACGCCCCTCGTTCCCTCGGCCTGTGTCTGTTAGTTGTGTATAAACCTGCAGTCAGCAGCCACTGAGGGTGCTGCTGGGCCCGTCTGTCCTGTCACCAGGGTTGGCATGCCTTGTGGTGCTGTCATCACATCTGCCCCCACCCATCCTGAGCGGGGTGGTGGCAGGACTGTCCTGTGTTCCAGGTTGTGTATAAGGAAGCTGAGAAGAATCCACGGCTGGCCCTGGGCCTCCTTGCCTTCCCCCCACCCAGAGCAGCACCTGGCCCATCCTCCACCACCGAGAGCAAATGTGAGCAGCAGGCGGGGGGTTCACTTGTTCTCCTTTTCTTTTTTTTTTTTTTTTCCTCCTTTTTTATGACAGACTGCCATTTGTTCAGGTGGAATTCAGACCTTTCTTTTTTTTTAGAGTTTATATATTTGAGAAAGTACACGTAGTCATGCAGTTGGGGGGCAGAGGGGAAGGGAGAAGCAGATTCCCTGCTGAGCAGGGAGCCCAATGTGGGACTCGATCTCAGGACCCTGGAACATGATCTGAACTGAAGGCAGATGCTTCACCCACTGAGCCACCCAGGTGCCCCCAGACATTCTATTTGTCTTTTAAATTTTATTTATTTATTCATGAGAAACACAGAGAGAGAGAGGCAGAGACACAAGCAGAGGAAGAAGCAGGCTCCATGCAGGGAGCCCGATGTGGGACTTGATCCTGGGACTCCAGGATCGCGCCCTGGGCCACAGGTAGACGCTAAACCACTGAGCCATCCAGGCGTCCCTAGACATTCTATTTTTAAGGTACATTTTCCTTTTCCTGTAGTAGGTCCAGCCAGCATCCCTCCACCCATGAATCAGTAGACCTGGGGAAATGTTTTGTTGATTGCATCTAAGCACTGGAAATCTCATTTTTGACAGCTGGTCCTCTGAGGGCAATTTCTTTAATGGATGGTAAAATGCCCTTGGATGAGCCAGGAAGAGGAAGAGCCGTTAGTAACGGGGGCCCTGGAGCTGCAGAGCTGGGTGTGGGGCCTGGGCAGGGCGCCTGTGCCTTGGTTCCCACATCGGTACAGCGGGCAGAAGTTTAGGATGGAGGAGATGTTGGAGCGGCCCCTGGGCCAGGCCGTGCCCCACTCCCCCAGGCCCAGTAAGCACCCTGAAGGGGGAGGCACACCTGCCTACTTCATCATCATCTTACAACCTTCTGCTGCTGGTTTTATAATGTTGGGTATTTAAGACTATTTTGTAGAGCAGTTTAGGTTTACACCAAAATTGAGGGGAAGGCATGGTTTTCCACACACCCCTGCCTCATGTGCGCAGCCTCTCCACGATGTAGACCCCGTGGTGGTGCGTTCAGGACACTGACAGGTGACACAGCTCCCAGCGCGGGACCCACTCCTGTTAAGCCCCCACCCCACATGTTAACGTGACGTCAGCTTTCCCCATTGGGGCAGGCAGCAGCCGATATGGGTCAGGCGGTGCAAGTGCTGCCCTGAGGTGGAGATTGCAGTGTCCCCTCTCCACGTTCTAGATGAGATCGCCTCGGTGCCAGTTTCCTTACAGACTTTGAAGCCGGTTGCTGACCGAGCAAACCCGAAAATTGGAGTGGGAGCGCTGGCCTTCAGTCCAGACAACTACTTCTTGGCGACAAAAAACGGTCAGTGGCTGCAGCCCCGCATCCTGTCTTCTTTCCTCCAGTGCCCAGGCATTCAGACTGTATGGGAAGAGACCCTGGTAACAGGCTTCCCAGGATGTTGTGTCCTCCCGTCTTGTACTGTGACATTGTGCCCACAGAAGCTTCTGGAGACCAGGCCTTGTCTGCAGAGCAGCAGCTGTGCGCCAGTGTCCCCTGCCACTGGGCTCTTCTTTTGTTCAGTAGAGAACAGGGTCTGGGCACCACTATGGCTGCTGGTTTGGTTTATACAGGAAGGGTGTTTACGTTTTTAAGGGCTTTAAGAACAACCATCCAATGTGCCCTTGTGGCCTGTGAACTGGGGTGGGGGGTCCAGCCTGTACAGATGCCAGAGTGGCAGCCATGCCCCTGGGGCCCTTGGCCTGCCCCTAGTGTCCTCTCCAGTGTGGATGCTGAAGCAGGCAGGGGTGGTGAGGAACCCAGGACCTGCCCTGTCTCCCCACCCTCCTTCAGACAGCATCCCCAATGCCGTGTGGATCTGGGACATACAAAAGCTGAAACTCTTCGTGGTCCTGGAGCAGCTGTCCCCAGTGCGCGCCTTCCAGTGGGACCCGCAGCAGCCCCGGCTGGCCATCTGCACGGGAGGCAGCAGGGTGTACCTGTGGTCGCCGGCGGGCTGCGTGTCAGTGCAGGTGCCCGGGGAAGGTGAGCACGATATTCTCGGCCCGCCATAGGCAGAGCCCTAGCACACTGGCACATTTCTGCAGACCTGGACACTGTGGCTCACGTGAGAGCCTCGCTCAGGATCTTCGGGTAAACCTCACGGCCAGACCCCAGTATATGCACATCTGGCAAGGGCCCCGAGGTGCTCAGCTTTTCTGGGTGTAGGAGACCCCCCTGAATGGGCATCTGGGGCTATAGCTGGGGCTCTCCAGGCCTGTTCTCTGCCCACAGGATTTGGGACTGTGCTCACTCTTTAACCCTCTGGCCACCTGTCTTTCCCTAGGTGACTTTCAGGTGCTTTCTCTGTGCTGGCATTTAAACGGAGACTCACTGGCCCTCCTCAGTAAGGATCACTTCTGTCTGTGTTTCCTGGAGACTGAGGAGAGGGTTGGCACCACCTTCGGACGGCCAGGTGACCACACGTAAGACCCATACATATCCAGGCCTGGGTGTGACCAGAGGGGAACACCTCCCGGCACCTACCGGCTGCAGAGTCGGGATCAGATTTCTCTGGGGAGCTGCTGCAACTAGTGAGTGAACCAGATGAAAGGACTCGCTTTTATTTTTCTATAGCATTTTTGTAAATATGTATAGTATGAAATGAATTTTTATTTAAAATAAATATTTGGTAATTCACAAAATGGCTGATACTTGTGTTGGTGAAAGGTTTGGGTTGTGGGAAGGATTTCTTGTTTCAGGTTTGGGGTCACTCACACGAAATAACTGCCCCCCAGCAGCTGTTTGTCCCTCAGATAACATCCTGTCCTGCTCTGGGGCCTCCGCTCCCCATCCCTGGAGTTTTCTGGAGAACGGGCTTGGGTTTCACATGGGGTGTTGGGGCATGTTCTGGAGTGCAGGGACGGGAACCCTGAGGGCTGAGAGGGTGGTGCCCCATCGGGGGGCCACTGGGTCAAGGTCAGCTCTGCAGGGGGTCCACCCTGGCCTTCTGTCCAGGGAAATCCCATTCACCTCTACCTTCGGGTGCTTCTGACGGCAGCTGGGATTGAGGAAGTGGAGGAAGTAGGTTCCAAACCTGGGTTCGCCATCCTGGCTACAGGCTAGCTTGCACACCACTGTCTGGGTTTCCCCGTGAGAGAGCTGTACCAGGACAGGACCCCCGAGGATCCAGAACAAGCACGGCAAATTGGGAGCTTTACAAAGCTAACAGCTTCAAGGAAGGAGAGACATCCGTTCAACTGTAAATGTCTTTACTACGAGACCAAAAGCAAATGCTCAAGACCCAGGTGGTGTGGAGGCAGCCTTCCAATTTGAGCAGGCTGCTGCATTTGGATCACATCCATGCCGACTAATGCTACACCAGAGTTGTAAATAAGGAGGAAGAAACCAGTGAGCCAGCACTTCAGTTGATAACAAGCGCTCCTAGTCAAGCCAGCAAGCCGAGGACAGGTGGGAGCACGAGCAGTGTGCTGCAGTTCCCATGGACATGCTCTGCAGGCTGCCACAGCTCGGGCGTGTTCAGGGCAAGGCGGGCGGCCTCGGGTCTGCATGGGCGCGGTGGGGACCCAGCCGAGTGTCAGCAGCATGAGAGACAAGAATCTGACAAGGTCCCTTCCTTAAAAAACAAACTGAGCAATACCCATTTTAAATGTAACTATGGCAACCCAAACCTGGAACAGGCATGGGTGTCAAATTGTTTGCAAAGAACTATCAAGGTAACTCTCATATCAATGAATTGTCTACACACGACTTCCTGCAAACTTCTGGGCCTGGGAAAGATGCCATAGGTATGAACACTGTAATTTTAGGAAAAGTAGGACTTTAGGTCAAACATATTTACACAAAGCTACTATTCACTAAGGAGCCAACAAGGCAGACTGGTTTAGTTCACTAGCCTGCTGGCTTGTTTTGCAGTAAGCTTTAAAAAAGATGGATTACATTTCAAAATATAAAATTTGACACCAAGTAGAAAGGTATTTGCAACTCTAGGCACCGGGGTCTCAAGGCTTCCGCCAGGTATAGGCATCTGCACAGTTGAAGTGCTAGCAGGGAGGTTCCGGTGGGAGCACATATTTATTAACATGCTAGAGGGCCGAGGGAAGGGCCACGAGAAGCCACACACAGACGCTCCAGGAAAGACACGGAAATAAACTCTAGAAGATGGAATACTGGCCAAGACGGGGATGGCTAGACTCACTTTGCTCTTTGTCTGTAGCTCCTATTACCCAATGTTCAAGATTCAGCTAAAGTATAGAATCCATTTGACTATTCTACTTGCACTGTGCTCCCTAAGGGTTAACAGCCCCGATCCTGCAGGGGCCTTGGAGCCAGCCTCAGGTCTGCTGCCCGAGCCCCCAGGTCCACCCATGGGGGGCAGCTAGAAGCCTATTTTGCCTCTGGTCATGGAATAACCCAATTTAGCCTCGTTGTTAATGAAGGACATTAATCCCACGTAGGTCTCGATGAGGAGGGGACGCTCCAAAACCAGTACACCGTTGGCTTGTCCTGGCAAGGGACTCTCTTTCTGGGCTTTTTTGACAGCTTGGATTAACATAGCTTTGAAGCTTTCCAACTTAGAGAGAGAGAAAACAGGTTGCCAATCAGTCATCGACACCAGAAAAAAACCCCACCCATTTCTGTGTCAGCCTTGCCACTGTCCTCAGGAGAGACGCCTCTCCAGCCACATGCTGGCTATATCTTGGCTCACGGGGATAGGCGACAGGCCTCGCAGAGGCTTGCCCTCCACAGGTCTGAGCTGCTCTGTCAGGGGGACGACTTCATCCTGCCCACCACCCGCCAGGCCATCTAAGCAGGTCGAGGGGCACGGCTGGCAGGCAGGGCCCACCCATGTCACTGTCCTCTCCGGCTCAGCAGACTGCTGGCCAGAGTCCTTCTGGGTCCTTCTCCAAGGCCATCATGGCCACCAGGGGCCACATAATAGAGCTACGTTGACCAGGAACCACTAGCCACATGAGGCTACTTAAACACAAGATAATTAAGACTTTTAAAAGAAGCTTAAAACATCTGCTTCCTCGGTTTTAGCAGAACAGTTCAAATGCTACACAGCCACAAGTGGGAACTGTGGCGGGCAAGCCTGGCCTAGGATGTCACCGTCACAGCTGGGCAGTACCGCTCCCGACGGTCTTACTTGGCACAGAGAGGCCGTCTTCTCATCCGCACCGGCCATCGGGTGCTCTATGAACGTGGCGTAGGGCACGTTGGTGGACCAGGGGTTCCACCTGTTTATGAACGAAGGGCGGCTCTGCTTGTCCCACTGAATGCGAATCCCAAAACCTTCTCGCCTATGGAGAAGAGACAAAGACTTCACGCAGCAGCAGGCCACAGAGCGCTGGGCAGCCCAGGCAGGTGTGGGCAGGTGTGGGACCCGGGGACGCTGCTTCACCGCCGTGCTGTGCTGGTCAAGTCCACCTTTACACAGCACAGCTTAGGGGGCAGGGAAGACCGTGTAGGTGGACTGGGACACAATCAACACGTTTGTCACTTCAGGTCCCCCGTCCAGAAGGCCTGGCGGCTAGCTGGCACCCTGGTCAGCACAGCTTCCCGACCCAAGCAAACCCCTGCAGCCGAAGTCACCCGACCAGAGTAAAGTCTAGGCTCCCGTGTTTCACAACACTCCCTTCCCCAAGCTGCCTGTTACACGCTCAGATTTAACTTCCAGGGACATCTGTAAACAGAAAAGGACACACTACCTTTCTTCTGTTAAACTTCAACTAGAGCAGAGTGTGAGGTCATGGTGTCACCCTCTCCTGGCCAGGGATAAAATGCGGAGTTAGCCCCATCCTAGGATGCCAAGTCAGGCCTGCCTCCAAGGCCTCCAGCTCCGTCTGCTACCAGCCTGAGAGCCTCTCTGAGCCAGGATTCCTCCTAGGGCACCTCCTCGCGTTGGCGGGGAGCTGATGCTGGGCGTGGGCCGCGTGGGTGCTGCACGCACTGCCTACAGACCCGACGCCGGCTCCCTGCTGAACACACTTACTTGTTGAGCGACTTGGGGGGAAACTGGAACTCCCCGCAGGAGATGGTGTCCACCGCGCTGAGGGCTATGCGGACCACCTGCTGGCACTGCAGGCTGATGAAGTCGTACTTGCAGATGAGCAGCGCCTGGTCGGTGATGAGCACCAGCCGCTCCTTCTCGTTGTTCCAGTGGTCCACCCTGCGGGCCCCAGCCGCGTCAGCCCCCGCCCGCCCCCCCCCGCGCGCCCCCCGCGCCCCGCCCCCCGCGCCCCGCCCCCCGCGGCCCCGCTCACTCGGTCAGCAGCCACACGCCCTGGATGTCGCCGTCCTCCACCGGCCGCACCACCACGCCGATCTCCTCCACCGCCTGCTCGATGGTGCCGGGCTGCGCGGGCGGGGCGGGGCGGGGCGGGGCTCAGCGTCCGCCCCGCCCCCCGCCCCCCGCCCCCCCGGGACCCGCGCCCCCCGCCTCACCCGGAACACGAAGTACTCCTTGACGCGGGCGCGGCGCGTGGGGTCGTGGATGCTGAGCGGCCACAGCGTCTGGCGCAGCGGCGTGCCCGCGCCCGGCCGCCCCCCGCCCCCGCCCGCGCCCCCGCCCGCGCCCGCGCCCCCGCCGCCCGCGCCGACCTCCTCGCCGGCCGCCAGCACTGCCGTGGGGCTCGTGCCCGCCGAGTCCACCGAGTCCCGCAGCTGCAGCATGGCCAGGCCGGCCGCAGCCCCGGACCCCGACCCCACACCCCGCCGGAACAGGCCGCCGTCGCCTCCTCCGTCCCTGCCGCCCCGGCCCCGGCCCCGGCCCCGCCCCCGGCCCCGGCCCCGCCCCCGGCCCCGCCCCCGCCCCCGGCCCCGCGGGTCGCTGCGATTGGCTCGGCCTCGCCAGCCCCGCCCCGGGCTCCGCCCCTGCCCGCGCCCAGCGGCCCTGCCAATTGGCTCGTCCCCAGCCGTCTCCCACGATTGGTCCTCCTCGCCGCCAGTTCGCACTCGCTCCCGCCCCCTTCCTGCCGGAAGCGCACGCCGCGCGCACGCCCATTTCCTCCCGGCGCGACCCGGAGAGAGGGGCGGGGCCCAGGCTGGTTGCCAGGGAGACGCAGAGGGTGCGCTCCGAGTCTAGCGCCGGTTACCCACGCGTACGGGGGGCGGCCGCCCCGCAACCCGCGCGCCCCCGGAACCCCCACGCGCCCCCGCCCGCGGTCCCCGCACCCCCACCCCCGCACGCGCCCCCGCCCCGCGGTCCCCGCACCCCCACCCCCGCACGCGCCCCCCGCCCCGCGGTCCCCGCACCCCCACCCCCCCACGCGCGCCCCGCCCCGCGGTCCCCGCACCCCCACCCCCGCACGCGCCCCCGCCCCGCGGTCCCCGCACCCCCACCTCCCCACGCGCGCCCCCGCCCGCGGTCCCCGCACCCCCACCCCCGCACGCGCCCCCGCCCCGCGGTCCCCGCACCCCCACCCCCGCACGCGCCCCCGCCCCGCGGTCCCCGCACCCCCACCCCCGCACGCGCCCCCGCCCCGCGGTCCCCGCACCCCCACCTCCCCACGCGCGCCCCCGCCCGCGGTCCCCGCACTCCCACCCCCCCACGCGCGCCCCGCCCCGCGGTCCCCGCACCCCCACCCCCCCACGTGCCCCCGCCCGCGGTCCCCGCACCCCCCTCCCCCCACGCGCTTCCCCCCCTACCCCGTATCCGCACCCGGCTTCCCTGCGCCAACCCGCCCCCCCCCCCCCCCCCCCCGCGATCTCCGCCTTAACCCCCCCCCAGGCCGCCCTGGCCGGGTAATTGCCCCCACCCCCCACCCCGCAGTCACTGTCCCTGGACTTGACCCGCCTTCGCCGTCCCCACCCCCTCTCTGGGGAGGCGCCCCCACCGGTTCCCCACCATGGTTGCTAGTGGTCAACCTCGGGGGGTTGCGGACCGGGACCCACCCCCACCCCCACCCCCACCCACCGCCCACTGACACTCCCCTCCCCGCGGTCAGAGCCCCTTAGACTAGCGGGACTCCAGAAAGGGCCGAGGCTTCTGGGGGCCTGTCCATATGGCAGGTGTGCCTGGGGCACCCTGGCTCCCAGACCTGAGCTCTGGCCCTGGAGGCACAGGGCTTTCCTGGACACCGGGGCCTTCCCTGGCTGCAGGTTCCGGGATGGAGGTGGAGCGGCCGGGCCTTGGGTCCAGCGCTCTGACCAGCAGAGTCCTCACTGAGCCTAGGAGAGCGTCCTTCTGTGACCTGTTTCACAGAAGGGGACACCGAGGCACGGGCGGGTCACTTGCCACAGCCACTCATGAAGGGTCAAAGCAGGATTCACTCTGCGCCCTTGCTCCCGTCCTCTGGACACTAGAATTGCATCTTCCTGTGGGAGAGACCTCTGGCCCTAGCTGGTGCCACCCTGGGCTTTGGGCCTCCCTGTCAGGACCTCATGGCCGTCCTCATCACCGTCCTCCTGGCAGGAGCCCGAGGGCTGTGCATCCAAATCCTCACCCCGCTGGTCACTTGAGACTTCTGCCATCGCCTCTACTCACACCACCCTCTTACTGCCCCACCCCAAAGCCTTCTTGCCTCACCCCTACTGTATTCGAGGCCACCCTCCCCAGAGGACATTGCCGTTCACCAGGACCCACTACTTTGTTCTTTCATCTTGTCACTCACCCTCTGTGCGCACGCGGGGGCTGTGCTAGGAAACTTTGGTGCACTAGCCCTTGGCAAGTGGTTGTGCTGTGGGGTCTGTAGCCACTTCCTTGGCTCTTTTAAGTTTTACCAAAGCACAGGAATGGCCATGCACTACTGTGTGCGCCCCCACAGGCTTGGAGAGTGCTGGGGGTACAGCCAGGTGGGTGAGCCACGTCCCTCCCAGTCTGGGCAGACCAGGACGCCCTCACGGTGGTCCACAGTTCACAGATGGCCCCAGGGAGGGTGCTGCAGCTGTGCACACGGCAGGTCCCGTACACCACTGACCACTCCCCTTGGATGCCAACATCCGCAGAAACCGGGTGGGGGTGGGGGGAGGGGGCACCAGAATGCGGAGGCCGGTGTGTTTGGAGGGCTCAGCTCTTGGATCTCCCACCAAGGATAAAGACAGCCAGAAGGAAGCAGCTTGCCAAGCACAGGATTCTCGGCTGGGGGAGGGGGCAGGCCTGGGGGGAGGTGAGCAACTGCACTGGTGTGAGCCGGTCTTTTCATGTCTGCAGAGGTTACGGGTCATAGCCAGGGTGGCCCCCCACTGAGGTGTTTCCAATCATCTGAGGGATGCCTTCTAAGGTCAGGAGGGGGAGTTTCTGGCCAGGAGAGCAGGACCACTGGCTCCCCTCTCACCCCCCTGCCCCCAACCCCTGGGGAGGCTGAAACCACAAGGTAAATATATCATGAGGAAGCTAAGGTCACTGTAGGATGGAAAGAAGAGCCCGGCCCTACACCTGCTGTTGTTGGGCTGCTAGCCCGCGGGGGCAGGAAACCACAAAATCACTGCTTGCCACTGCTTCCCCCATCTCCGTCCATACTGGAGTAGTTTGGGTACTTTGCTTGGGAGAGGGGGGTGGAAACAAAGATCCCAAAGCCTGCTGAGTGGGTGTGCAAACGTGGGTAGCAAGGTGCTTCTACGCGCTCTGGCCTGCTGCGGTCGGTGGGGTAGGACAGAGGCCGCTGCCTTCTGTTGACCCGGGGTGGGTGACCCCCCTCTTTGGGCCCTGTCCCTGCAGAAGGCGGGGGCAGGGGAGCCTCTCTTCTCTGGCAACTAGGCCGGGGCTGAGTCGGCTCTGCCCAGTCCCTGTGTGGTGGTCCTAAATCGGGCCCCTGAGGGGCAGGCTGGACCCCTTGGGCTTGTGCCTTCTGACACCTGTCTTGGGTCCCCTCTCACTCCGGAGGGGGCTCAGAGTGGAGCCAGGGACCGGTTGAGGATGGCAGCAGGCATGTGGGCTCAGAAGTCCTTCCCTCTGTCCACAAGGACCAGCACACTGAAGCTCTCTGTGCCTCAGTTTCCTTTTCTGTTGAACGTAGATAATAGTAGTTCCTATTTCCAATGGCTATTGGGAGGATTAAATGAGTTGATTCCTGTGGCGTGCCCAGCACTCTGCCTGGCCCACATTGAGAACCATGGTCAGTGTCAACCATCACCCTTCTTCATACTGGTCCGAAGTGCCAGGTATGTCTGCAAATATTGCCTTTGCTCCCAACACGCATGCATGGGGGGCAGTTTTCTTCTCTTACCAAGGAGAAAACAGTTCAGAGAGGTTGTCACCTGGGGAAGGTCACACATCAGCAAAAAGCTAGGACCTCTTGAAGTTCAGAGCCTGCTCCCATGCCAGGGGCTCCCCAGGGGGCAGAGAAGAGTCCATCCACTGACACCGTGTATGAGGGACTCACCCACTCCACAGGGTGACAAGGGGAAGCAGGAGGTTCCAGTGACCCTCACCTTCAGGGTCATCTCACCGGGGGGAGGAGGGTTGGGAAGGGGAACCAGAGTCCAGGGGATGAGGTCGCTGGTGGGCACGTGTTCCCGGGGAGGGTGGACAGCCAGCCCCCGAGGACCCCCTGCTCTGGGTTTGAGTTCTGGCCCAGCTATGCATTCCTGTGGCTGATTGTGAACCAGTCATGTAACCTTCCTGCTTCCCCTTCTCGTCTGGAAAGCAGGAGTGATAAAACCTAGCTCAGTGGTCCTCAGGAGGCTGACATGAGATAACTCATACAGAGAAGACCTGTCGGAACAGCTCCACCAGCGTTTGTGTCTGAGAGTCCAGCCTGTGGGGATGCCCGGTGAGCACCGTGCAGGCAGGTGAAGATATAGGAGGGCAGGGGCCCAATTAATGGCCCCCAATCCCAGCAGAGGCAGAGGGAACCAGAACCTGGGGTCCGGGGTTTGGGGTTAGCTTATGGTGGGGGGACACTGTCTACCACCCCTGCTGCTTGTGGATCCTAGAAGTCAAGTTCTAAAAGAACTCTTGTTGACCTTGAACTAATGGAGTTTTACTGAGGTCCCCGGAACATCTCAAGGGATGAGTTCTCTCTCCTTTTAGCAGAGAGATTACACTAATGAGGCTCACTGCCATGCTGACTCCCACGGGAAGCATGGTCAACCAAGAAGTGACGGCAACCTTGTGCTGGGACATGTTCCTATAAAATCCCTAAGAATCTGATGTGCCCTGGCATGACGGCAGCCATCGTGATTTTCAGAAGTCCCAGGAATACCCCACTTTCCTCATCAGTGCATTATAACAGATTCTCAGCAGCTCTCCAGCCATGGCCAGTTGTGTTTTCTCCTCTGCACATGGTTATTGCTTTACTCTGATGCTTTGCAAAAGCATTTCTGCAGAAGTATTCCATCTTCACGGAGACACACGGAAAAGATTCTGGCAAGGACGGGTTTCTGGTAAGTAAAGCCCGCCTGCCTGCGCGTTCTGGGGGGGCAATGAAGGAGCTCTCAGATGCTTCCCCAAGGCTACCTGAAAGCCCCACCCAACACAGAGGGCCGGTAGCCTGACTTGTCCCTAATCTCCTTCCCCACATCCATAAAACGGGCCCATTTCACTGAGGACACAATGTCCAGTGTGAAGGCTCTCCCCTGCGGGCCTCCCTGGAGCATCTAGGTGGGGGAGGGATGGACAGTGAACCCACAGATGCACAAGGCCCAGGTGCCACCATAGTTTTGGCCGGGGCAGATGCGCATTTCCTCCAGAATTTGTGGTTGATAAGATGCAAGCCTACCCAACCCCTAGGAACAGGAAAGAGGTGCAAGGCTTTGTAGGAAATGGGGG